GGGGGGGGGGGGGGGGGGGGAAGGACGGGGGGTGAAGAAAAGAAAACTGTGTAACAATTGCATACCTCAAGGAGATAAAAGTTATCTCCTCCTTCTCCGTAGTTGATGATGTTCTGGCCTGCTTGAAACTTTTTCTCAAACACCGCATCCACGACCTGACAAGCCAAATCACAGTTCCTAACTTCATCAGTTCTAAATCTTCAGATGTCTGTTATAAAATTCCTAAAATGGCAAAAAAAGGGTATTGCCGTATTAGTAATCTTCAGATGTCTATTACAAAATTCCTAAAATGGCAAAATGGTATATTAGTAATGTTACTAGATTGTATAATTTGATATTTTTGTTTGCAGATACGAAGAATAACCAAGACTATTCCCAAATTAAATGGCCCCGATTGCGAACCGCAAGCTGATAGACTGAAAGGGGGTTCAGGACAATCAAGATCACAACTGAACGAACTCGGCAGAAACTCAAGTGGTGAGCTGCATATTGACCATTCAGCTCACAACACATTCCTAAGCTAATCCTCCAGAGTGCCACAGACTCAGCAACAATCACAAGAACGGAGCAAAGGCCAAACACCTCTTGGAAAAAAAAAGAAAAAATCAGCAGAAAGACGTTCAAAGAAGGCAACCAAGATCATACACCAACAAAAACCAAAAAGTGAAATGCTGTGATGGTTCACAGGATAGTAAATGCAACCGATATTAAGTACAAGCTGTGAACAAGCTGACTTTCTGCATCAGAAGAACCAATAGTAAATGCAACCGATAGTAAATGGTTTCCAGGTGAGGCAGAAGAAGCGGAACGAGGAGGCGGAGGATGGCCACTGGGAGGACAAGGAGAAGCAGGAGGATGACGAGTGGGACGAGGATGGCAACAAACGAAAAAAGGAGTGACAGGAGTAGTGGAACGAGGACGGGGACAGCGAGAGCTAGGAAGACCAGGAGGTAGGACAATGAGCGGCGGGAGGAGGACCGGGAAGAGGAGTAGGAGTACGAGAAGCGGGATGACCAGGCTCCCATCCCATCTTCACCTCCCGTCCTGCCCATCCTCCTCCCACTCCTCCCGTGCCACGAAGAGCGGAGGAGAAGCGCCAAGAGATAACGAACAAGAGGAAGAGAAGAGGGAGGAGGAGGGGGAGGGGGGCAAGCAGGAGGGGGAGCAGGATGTGATGACGGAGCAGAAGCCGGAGGTGTGGAACGAGGACTCGGGGTGGCAGGAGGAGGACTGGGTGGAGCAGGTGGCATGACGAAGAGGAGGTGGCGGACGAGAAGTGGGAGGACGGGCTGTTTGTGCATCACACGTGTTTTTTTTTCCAGAGAGAGAGAGAGAGAGAGAGAGAGAGAGAGAGATGAGGGTAGGAAGAGGTGTGGTGCGGGTGTAGCTGCAGCGGGCCGACTTGTTTTTTTAAATGACCTCGAGATATCGTTGGACTGACCAGCCCCAGGTAATTCATAATTATTTTACTCTGTTCATCTGGTTGCATCTGTATTCGAACTGGGGTCTGTATTTCAACAGTTATGGTGTACCAACTGAACTAGGCCCATCTGGTTTCCGGGTGGCACTGCTTCGTTTTGTTTTTTTTTTTCCAAAGGAAGCTCCTTTCTATTGGTGAGAGGGTCACCTGCTGGGAAATGGGCCCAGCGTCCCATTGAAACAAACAACTCTCGAGTCTCAACGCTTCCGACCCAGGGAACCCTGACCGCATTGATTACTTCCTTCGGAAGGATCGACTGCCAGGTAGTTCGTTGGCAGTTCCATTTTTTTTTTTTTGTCTTTTTGTGGATCGCATTCTGGGTGCACCCGTGACTCGGCGCATACTCACCACGAGGACCTTCTTGTACTAATCTCTGGACGTGATTGTGGTCAGATACATCAGGGTCTTTCCGTAATTACACTCAGAGTCATTTAGAAAAGTCCTAGTGTCACACGAGGACCTTTTTCTGCAAATTTGGTGGCCTTTGCAGTCTCCAAAAAGTGAAGCGCCCTCTCGACGCTCTCGGCTGAGTCACGCTGGCATCCCGTTTTGAACGAGACACAGTCTAGGTCTTCTGCCAATTCACCATTTTGGTCACAGTGCAGTCACAACTGGCAGTGATTTTCTTTTTTTTTTGATGGGGGGGCGGGGAGGCGAGGGGTGGGGGTGGGGGTGGTTTGATTTCTTGGCCTCACTGTACCCTCCTACTTTTTTTTGGGGCGTCGCTTATACTTTGGGGCTGTTTCTTGGAAAAAATATCTCCTTTTCCCTTTGAAAGATCGGGAAAAAAAAAGGCATTTGTTGGCACCTCCAGAGGTGGCCACAACTTCCCAACTACGTGGCTTGGGCCGCTGGCAATTGCGACGTCAAATACGATTTTGGTGATTGAGGGGGGCTCTAAATGCGTTGCAAATTTTGTGAATCTGTGAAAAAGGTCCTAGTGTGAATATGCCCTCAGATCTTTTCCCTCTCTCTTTTCTTTTTTTTTCTTTTTTGCACAGCACACTTGGAACGATTTCATTCATTTTTCTGAATTTCCCCCCCTTTGTGAAGCACAATTTTGTTCCCTTTTTTTCCCACATGAAGTGCTCGAGTTCTTCAGTGCACCCACCAAACAGTGATTTCTCTCACACACCCACCCACTCAGCCGCTCGTCCACACCCAGCCACACACCCACTCACCCGGCCGACAGGTCCTTGTGCAGTCGCAGCAGGGTCCTGGTCATGATGATGATGACAATGCCGACAGAAAAAGGAGGAGGATCTATCAGCGCACAACTTCGTGGCCATGGTGCTGGAGGGGGGGGAAGAAGGAGAATGAAGAGGCAGAGGAGGACAAAGCAGAAGGAAAGGAGGAAGAAGGGGAAGATGATGAACATGGAGACTGAACCATCATTGAGATCATTGATGGCCACGGTGGTGCAAATGATGAAAGTACTAATGATCATCATGAGGATTATCTATGTCTCCCTCTTCCACACTCTGTCCTATCCTCGATGATGACGTGGTGGTCCAAATGCATATACGTAAAACTACTAAGCCACATGTATGAAGTTGCCACACAGTGTGTATGTGTGTGTGCACTAACGACGAATAGGTTGTGTCATTTTCAGCGAATTTTTCACCAAAACTGCCATATTTCACTGAATTTTTGCTTTTTTATTATTATTTTTTATTTCGTTTTTTAAATAAATTCCACCCTCGATAATAGATAGTAGTGATGATAAAAGCATGCACTCCTACCTGTCTTGCAGGGGGCTCCAGTCTATCGGTGGGGAGCTACACCTGCTGGAAAGCGGGCCCAGCGTCCCCTAAGATACAGAGAGTTCAGATGATAATTCAGCACATTGCCGCGGTAGGCAGGGGGTTCCAGGGGGCATTACCCCCGAGTAGGAAGTAGGGGTTGGTAGACTTCAGTTTTGCATGTTGCCTTTTTGTGGCCTCTTTGTTGTTTGGTAGAAGTTCATTGGTTGGTCCCTCTGGCAGAGTAGGCCTGTCAGTTTAGGGTAATTTCTTTGTTGGTTTTTGCAGGATAGTGCACCCTGCGTTTTGTTGGATTTTGCCTGATGCTTTTTTGGGCCTGTTTTGTTGTTGGCATGGCCAAGTGTTGTTGGGGAAACCCACTTCTGCTCCTGGGTCAATATCCCAGAGGTGACAGTTCCTTTTTCCGGGTTGTTTGTGAGGAATTCCCGGCATCATGGATATTTTCATGATAATTGGACTCCTCACTTTTCCCAAAAAAAAAAAAAAAAAGATAATTCAGCACATGCTGGGAACCGGGCACAGCCTCCCTCATGATGCAGCCCGTCCCATAACGTGACATTGATGAATGGAAAAAAAGCAGGATCCAACAGACAAATCATAGAAAGTCAGCTTGACTCTTTGTCAGTGGACAGTCACACCTTTTGCTCCTGTTCTGGGTCCAAGCTCTTGAACAGGTAGTTCTTTTTCAAAGCCTGACTTATCCTCATCTTTGCGTCCTTCGTCTTTGGAATGACCTGCCTCGGACCAAGGACATGAGCGACCACAACACGGGCACAACCAAGGACATAAGCAACCATAAGCAACCATAAACTGGAGACGTCACATCGGGGCACCCTACTTTCTGAGGGTGCTCTTACCACCTCCCAAAGCAGGGCGCCCCCTCTGATGTTTTCCCAAAAACAAAAACAAAAAGAAAAGACGGACACATACGTGTCAGTATCACATACTCACGCCTAGCAAGGATTGTAAGGACCTAATCACCCTCCAAACTCCTGGTCGTCTTCTGCTTGTCGTTCATACCTCTACCTTACTCCGAATGCCACGGCTGTCAGCCTGTGGAACAAGAGTTACAAGACCATGATGCAATTGAAACAATCGTGCGTTTTTTGTTTGACCCCTTTATTCTTTCTATCAGCACATTTCTTGGCCCTTTCCACAAATGTGCAGGTTATCATTGTCATAACCACGTGCAATTGCCACGTAGACAGGTCACTAGACCACCACTACTACTTTCTCAACAGAGGCTGACGAATTTGTGCACACCCCCATTCTTGGGGGGTTCTACCTCCCCGATCTCTTTGGCTGGTGGTGCCAGCCTAAAAGCTGAAGAAAATGTGCCGTGCCGAATAGTAGAGTTTTCTGCATGCAGCACAGACCCGCCTCAGGAAAAAGAGGCTCTGAGGTAGTGGTGGCTTAAAGCAAGGGAAAAGGGGGAAGAAAAAAGGGAAAACGAACTGGCCCCAGAGAGGCTATAGTATCCTACAAGATGGGCCAGCGCGGCTTGGCCCGCGTAAGCAACATGTTCAGTTCTATTCAGGTAAGTGGGGTGGACATTCTAAAGACGTCCCGAATACGGTTACCGAAAGCAAACCATTGAGGATGTGAAGACGCGCAAAGAGTAGGAGACGGAGGTGGTAAAATTCAGTTGCATGAAAGAACAGTGGTGAGAATGTGAATGCAGGATACATTCCAATGACATAAGAGTGCACGAAAGACGAAGACGAAATGTGATATCGAGGAAGAAAGAATAACGGCGTTGTCGTGGATATGGAGTGGCTGGAGGCAGAGGGGGAAATGAGAACAGGAAACGGGCGAAGTGGTTCTTCGCCTGGTTGCATGTAACCTTTTGCAGTTCTCATGTAGCAACTTACACGGAACATGACCTATATCGTTTGGTAGGTTGCTTACGACAAAAGACAACAAAGAATAAAAAAGAGCTGGAGAAACGACGTTCACTGATAACTATAAGCACGCCTGCATACGTGGAGATTCACGTAGTAGGGCAAATGAGGATAAGAAAGGTCAGAAAGTAGTAGCAGGCAATGATTGCAGGGAAGAAGAGAAGGGAAGCCATGAAGGAGAAAATGTTTTTTAGTGATGAGGGGAGATCTTTGCGGTCTTGGGTGCGTGAATGTTGTCCACAGAGCAAGATTCATGAATGTTGGATTTAATGTCAGCACTGATACATTTGCAGAGCGTTCTCAATCCATCAGATAGAGTATGTTCAGAAAAAGCGGCAAAACATACTCTAAATACGAAGCACTGGAATTTCGTTTTGTCTGCAGCTTCCTGAGAATGTTTTGCTACCCTGTATTGTCACTTCCTCAGTTTCTGTCTGTCGGACTGTCCGCTACTCTCAGACTTTGTTCATTCCTGTCACAGAGGGGATGTGTGTGTAGCAGTATGGTTGATTTTGTGGGCCATGTACTGACTGCCCATCCCTTGAACCCAGCGGTTGGAAGTGTCATTTGCCTTGTCTGTGGGAGTTTGAATCCATAGCTGCAATGCCCAGAGAACATGTACAGTTGTCGATCCTTGTGTCATCGGCAGTTCTTACTGCATTATTCAGTATGCATGTGAATGTGGCGCATGCCGCATTCCTTGAAAGTCCAATCACAACAACTGTACAGATGCAAAGTTTGCACGGTGAGATTGACCATTGAGGACATTGTCACGCAGTTGCGTGTGGACCAAGGGAACCATGCAGTTTCTCATGAAGTGCAATGTAGGACGCTGCAGCTATCTTGTATTGCTCGAACGTTGTGACGTCGTCATGGCCTTGGCGATAGTAGTCAACGTACAGCATTGCTTTGAGGGCACTCCATTCACTGGTGTTGTCAATCCTTGTAGTCAGCACTGCACTTATCCGCTGCAACCTGTGATTGGCATCAATTGTTGAGATGATAGCCTGCTGTGGAGAAATAGGAAGCAATAAGGTCAACCAGTCTGTGTTGGGTGAGTGTGAATGTGGTGAGTGATAGGCAGGGTTGAGCTATGGATCCATTGGCGGCAGTGGGAATGGTGGCGGAGCCAATGGCAAGAAGAGACGGCGTCGGACGTTCTGAGGAGCAGGTGGAGGAATCGAATGTGTTGTGACAGCTTGGTTTGGTGGTGTTTGGAATGCAGTGGTGGCGTTGTTGTTCGTCAGGTGTGGTGCCGGGGATTCGGATTGAGAGTTCCTCTGTTCGGAATCGCACGTATGCAGGAGAACCCAATGTTTCTCCTTGTGGCAATCGGACATGACTTGCTGCACGCTCTGGTGTATGGGTTCTGCACCCTACGTTCCTTTGGGAGTTGAACCGCAAGGAATTCAAGCCTCGCATACCTATAGATTTGAAATCAAACCTAACCGTCGTGCAAGATGTTCTTGTACTTACGGCAGATACTCATCATCAGGCGCAGCGGTAATGTGCTGTATTCCTTTTCAGTGATCCTTTGGATAAGAGTGTCTGCATCATCGAGATTGCCATTATCAGGAATGTGTTCGCCAGGACACTGAAGAAACGAACGCTCGATAGTGCCTCTGGTGAGGAGAAAGTCTTGCCAAAGGTGCTCTGTTGGTTCGACATGTGATTCATCGAAGAAGCAATGGAAGAGCATGTTATTAAGCATACGTGGTCTACCAATGTCGTTGAGAATATTTGGCCACTGCGTAAATTTGTGATTGAGATTCGGGTCCAGCTAAATAGTATGGTCTTTGTCTATCCAGATGGGGCTCCCCCACCAATTCAACTCATGATACACTAATGTCGAATTCGGTGGAAATCCATTCCTGGTTGTGGCAACACCAATCTGTGATGGACCACGCAATGTATCGTGCAGCCACTCCTAAGAGTGCAGGAGATCAGCCGCCCGCTCGTAATGGAAACCAAGCGTCATAATCTGCGGGCGGTTGAAAACCACAGCGTGCGAGCAGCGATGGAGTCTACCAAATACTGGTGAGAATTAGTTAACCCAAGGAAAGCCGCAGCTCGTGAAGGTGATGGCCATAGACCGAGGAAAACCTGCCGATCTCACAATGCGATGTTCAGCGAGGTGTAAGACCGGGTACATATACATATCGAATTGATAGGCTACAATGAGCATCAGAGAGGCGAACGTCGCAAGCACGCAGAAGGATAGAGGAAAGCGTTTCAATGACCGCGGACATAACAAGAGGGCAACTCTCCAATGAGCCGGGGCTAATCCGCGCGTTGGTAACAGGAGAAGGTTCGGTCGGGGCCCCCTTCGGGTGGTCAGCACATGGGGTAGGCTTTGCCTTAATTGGGGAACCAACAAATCCTGACCCCGACGCACGGTGGAGGGGAAACGTGGCGCATTCCGAGGGGTGGTGGGGTGCACATGGGGGTGTTGAAGTGGTTATACGAAGGAAGGGGTCATCCCAGCATATGAAGATATAGAGCGTGCAAGAGCATCACAATGGGCTATAGTCGATCACAATGGCCATAATGTGCACATGGATTGGATTTGTAGGTCGGCAACCCTGATAATTGTAAAACCCTCCCACACATAGTTAAAAACTTGCAGGGGTTTTAGAACGAAAAGCGAGCTTCAGGGTATTATGGTTGAGGTGATCAACGTACCCGGATGTTATTGGTTGCAGATGAATTCCATTGTCAATGACAGCCCCACGATGAAGAATGTTATGCCGTAAGCCATCGTCCTTATCGCCAAGGCCATTCAGACGTCATTGGATTTACGTGATGTGGCGCTCATAGGCCTGCACACCCTGACAACGACCTGACGATACACACCAACTGCAGTCAATTAGATTGGCAACCTCAGTGCATGCAGATGGGCAGTGGGTGCGGATCTACCTCGCTATCCGTGGGTGCGCTCTTGCACTATGGGGGGTTTCGTCGATGCGTTGCAGCAATTCTTATGGTCAATTATTGTCTGAAAATTGCCTTCCCACGACCAGTCGTTTGGCGCACATAATAAAATGGGTGTGATGGTTGACCGCATGATCGATGCTGAAATGATACGGTCTCGGGACCCCCCGCCATTTCACCCACCACAAAAGCAGCCCACCACCCATCGTTCTCGTCGCAGGTATGCTTATGTCGACAACGTGTACAGTCCAGCATTCCCATCCCATCCTCCACATTTGAAAGAGAAATGAAACATGCTCCCCTCTTTTCGTCCTCAATTGGATAAACCCAACCTGCTCCACACCCACTCCCTTCTTCCTTCTACCAGCACGTAAAACACATCCGCTGTGAATTTGCGGCCATGGTGATGCGTGTACAGGTGCGTGGATTGATGATTGTGTTGTCAGCTGTCTGACAAACCGTAATGCCCACCAAATGCCGAATCTACACTCTGCGCTGCCACATTGCCGAACATCATATTCTCTGAGTTCGCAATTCCCATTTATACCACAGAACTCTCACGGGGTCACCGTCTCGGGCTTGTTCCTTTTTTCTCTCGCAGTCTCTCGCTTTGTGTAGCCGCACCTTTAGTGAGCAGCGCATGGTCAGCGTAGCAGCAGCCGTGGCAGCAGCCCTTTGTATTGAGCATGGCAGTCGTAGCCGACGGCTCCCTGATATCACACAACACAATGTACTCAACCCGTGCGTTGCACAAGTGCAGCTGGGCACGAGGCCAGCTATCAGTGGATGTCGTCTAACACATCGATGACCCGCACATGACGAACCACAGGCAGCAGGTTTCCACGGATCCTCACGGGCATGAACCGAGGGCCCCCCACAACTCATTTTTCACTGTCCACCATCGATGCGATGATCGACGATCACAACACCATATCTCCGGGAGAGATGGATGTAGCAGATCCAGGCCAACATCTCAACAGTCGGCGCAGCAGGGAACGCTTAACAACACCGTGCAATGAACATGATCTACCATCCTCTACCCTCTACCCCATCTGATGAATTGAGTTTCTTCGTTAAGAAAAAAAAAGAGAAAAAAGAAAGAAGACCGATGTTCCCCGCCAGCTCCCCTCGGACTTCGTGTGCCTCCTGTTGCCTAACCTTCTTCCAACCCTCGGGTTGTTGGGTTTCTTGTTTTTTCTTTATTATTTTCTTTCACCGTTTTTTACCTGCAGCACACAACCTCCGGGGCTCGGACCGACGTTCTCAAGCCTTAGGGTCTGATCCGACTACTGCTACGGAGCATAGTCTACTGGTTTTCACAGGATCCGACTACTTTCCGAGTTTGTAAGTCTCCCCGTGGAGTTCGGCAGCGAGTGAAAACAAACGTGTACGTGGCAGGTGTTCCGCGACCCGCGGCGAAAAAGAACTTGCCAAAATCGGTAGAAGCCAGCACCGTCCCTGCTCCTAAAAAGAAGGCCGGCATTTTTTCTTTTCTTTTCAATATCCGGTGGGCTACGCTGTCCTCTCCTGTGTGTGACAGCACGTTCCTTTCCCCTTGGGACGCCACCAAAATTGTAAAAGTCCCGCTATTGTCGCCCAAGTGGGATCCAAAATCACTTTTCCTTTCCTCAAGGGGCGGGCCCGCCCAAGCCGGTTCTTTTTGGTTCTTCCCAAAAAGAAGAGAGGTCGGATCAGCCCCTTAGCGCTGGGGAAAAGGCAAGGAAAGCAACTGGCCTACAATGACGTTGTCTGCCACGGCGCGTTGAACTATCACTCTTCCACGGAAACCTCAAGATTCTCTATTTCTGCACATAAAAAAATCACGGCGCGAAGCTTCAAAAACACACGCCCCCCCTAAAAAAAACAGAGAATTGAAGCTTCCCGCCAAGGCAAAGTGGCCAACAAATAAATTTAAAAATTTTATACTGGCTGATGGGCAGCTACCTCCACGAAAACAAAGACAATCGACACTAGCAGTTGATACGGTGCACAATCAACGATTGACATTTGTCACGGACGGCCGCACGTGATCGAAAACCACAGAGCACAGGCGTAAATCGGACCTAATCGGTCCCGGCCCCCGGAGAAGAACGTTTCCCTCCCTTTTCTGACATTCCGCCTCCTGAATCCACCCGGAAACAAAAACTCCCAGTGGCCTGTGAGACGTGATGCGAGTGCAGTGCGAGACGCCATGCCGATATTTAACCGCAAACACATTTCTCCCGTCGCCACTGATGTAGATAATCTACAGCTGAATTTCTCACACGCCTCCCCCGGAACCAAAACTGGAAGCACAAACTCCCGGTCCCCACGAAAACCCCATGCTAAAAGCTTTCCTGCCCATTTCTGACATGCCCGGCAATCAACATTTTCTTTTTTTTAATGCTTCTCCGTTTCTCCTTTTCTTTTGTTTTTTTTTCATATTCATTTCCTTCGTTTTATAAAGGCCAGGTTGTTGTAGAGGCCGAATGGCAACCCGAAGGCCAGGTTGTTGTAGAGGCCTCCCCATGCAGACAATCTACGATCATGGATAATCAACCCGAAGCCGAAACGTCCTGGGCCCGCCGATGTACATAACGATTTTGCACCACCTCCCAAACCTCCCGATCCACAATCTACGAGCACAATTATGTACCTGCTCCCGACCCCGTCCAGGCCGTCCCCATACCCAACCCAACTACACGGCTCCCGACAAACCTCAAAAGGCTTGCCTCAACGGAGGCGAATCACAAACCTCCCATCTTCGTCGACCTACGCCATCGACGGCACCCATTTCAGACCTGCCCGTCAGACGGTCCAAGGACTGTGCAGACAAATACGACCAGAACGCCCGAACCTTGACACTGCGCAAACCCTGCTCATTTCCCAATGACGGTGGTCCCTCTTTGAGCGTCACGAAAATAAAGAAAACAAAAGAATGACAACAGAAGTGAGAAGAAAAGTAACCGTTTCCCAAACCATCGATCTGCCATCAGACGGTCCAAAGCCAGTGCGGACAAATATGACCAGAACACCCGAACCTTGACACTGCAAACCCTGCACGTTTGCCAACGACGGTGGCGGATTTGATCTGCCGTCAGACGGTCCAAAGACAGTGCGGATAAATACGACCAGAACACCCGAACCTTGACACTGCGCAAACCCTGCGCATTTCCCAACAACGGTGGCGAATTTGATCTGCCGTCAGACGGTCCAAAGACAGTGCGGACAAATACAACCAGAACACCCAAACCTTGACACTGCGCAAACCCTGCGCATTTCCCAACGACGGTGGCAAATTCGATCTGCTGTCCCTCTTTGAAAAGTCACGAGTACAAAGAAAAGAAAACAAAGACGGTGGCGGATTCAATCTGCCGTCCCTCTTTGAAAAGCCACGAAAACAAAGAAAACAAAACAAAGACAAAAAAAGTGAGAAGAAAAGTAACCGTTTCCCAAACCCTGCGCGTTTCCCAACGACAGTGGCGGATTCGATCTGCCGTCAGACAGTCCAAAGACAGTGCGGACAAATAGGTTAACACACCCTGTCCTTGGGTGTTCGGCCTGCTGAAAGGAAAAAGCTGGCAGCACCAGGCAAATAGGCTCCATCTCGCACCCGCGCCGTTTCGGTAAAACTTAACCTGGCGTGAAGCAGAAATTGGCATTAGGAAAAACGAGGCTCGGATAAGGGAGTGAATAGGAGTTAATTGGCAGGGGTTACTATTGGGGGGCGCTCTTACCACCCCCAATAGTAAGCCCAGCTTCCAGTACACCACATATCGACCCGCGGGTGTCAGCAGGAAACCCGCACCACTTCGGAGGCCGCCGATTTTTTTTCTCAACGGTGGGCCTGGCCACGCGGCCCCTCCGAGTTTTACTTGTGGCGACAAAAACTTTCTGCAAGGCTGGGGCCGTGCACTAGCGGTTTAAAAATAAATAAGAGGGAGTGAATAGAGTTGGTTTGAGAATCTTGGGTGTCGTCAAAAGTACTCTCTTTCACCCAAATGGATCACAGGGTCATCCTACCCAGCCCATTGTGGCTGAATGGTGCAGACTTGAAACTGGTGATAAACAGGTCACAAGTTTGGGTCAGACGAGTGCAATAATATTAGGGGCCTACCTCATTCTTTAAAGAAAGAAGGGATCACAAGGTCATCCTATATGTGCCTCCTGGCCTCAAGTTTGTGTTGATCACAAATAGACTGATGCAAGGAATTTGAGCAATAGCGAAATGACAGATTCCAGATTGCACAACCACATTGAAATCCAGGAAGTTCCACATTGTCCAGAAAGAAGAATTGCACCAATATTACACCAATGGAGAACCGAAACACCGAATCCGAATGTCAATGAGCACAGGCTCGTCATCACCAACATAAGTATCCAGAGTCCTTCCTCCTACTTGGCACTCAGCGCCCAGCCTACTATTACACAGCTACTTCCAACCTACGAATTGACAATGCAACTGTTGAAGTCAGCAGCAGAACCGAAGTACTTGAAGATGTCGACCAATGCAGACCATTGCCGATACCAGGTATGTGCCCTCACATCATCATCCTCATCTCTCGCTCTCTCTCCTCGTCTTTCACCCACGTCTTCTTCCCCATGCACAAAGACCACCGCTACACCTTGCTGTACACCCAAGCCCAGCCAGCTATGGAAGCTGGGCTATGGCGCTGCCCTTAGCAGCGCCCTGGCTTACACGCCCGCACGTGCACAGACACCTTTGCCTGGCCCAGCCTACAGCACGCGAGCACAGGCTCAAGCAGCACTGCTGCACAAATGGCAAGTGCCCGAATGTCTGGCCAGGCAGCGAGCTCTTTCCTATATGGAAAGAGCCTGGCCTGGTCTGCTGCCTGGCTGGGCTGGGCCTGCGCCCAGAAGCTTCCGGTACGCCCTGTGCCCTGTGCCCCCTACAGTTACTGCCCAGCTGCCAGTCGTGCCTTCTGCTGTGCGTGTGGCCCTGGGCCTGCTTCCACGTTCTTCCGGAAGGGGCCCGGAGGCCGATGCAGGATGTTGCGGCCTGGGCCTGTTTTTTCCATCAACCAACTGACGCGACCCAACCGTCTGAATCCCCAAATGCACAATTGACAACATAGGCCTCCTGGAATTATCAGGCCCGCCACATTTCGTAACAGGGCCCCCTCGGGCTTGCCCAGGAGCTGATTCCTCGCACTGACCCTGCAATCCAAAAAAGAAAAAAAGAAAAAAGAAAAAAAAGGAATGAAGAATGACCCTGCAATCTACAGAAGAGAATAATATTAGGGGTGTACCTCATTCTTTAAAGAAAGAAGGGTACACCCATAGCCTTGTGCAGCAGCCTTGGGTGCTACATTCCTTTTCTGAATTTTTTTTTTTTTTTTAACTTTTTTAATGAATGCCCCTGACGTTGCTGCCGTTCCAGTCTATACTTCCCTAAGGACGTGATGAATTTCAGTGTTTTCTTGTCTTTTTTCCTTTTTCCCCAAAACGGAAGTGCCCCAATTTCCAGCACCGGTTTTCTCTGGTTGCAGTACATGCACTGTTCTTTTTCCCTTTCCCACAACCCAAAAAAATCACAACCAACAACAACAAAAAGTACCTTCAATTCCTTGATATCGTGTACACCCAAGACTTCAGCGCTTACTCCCGTTCTCCGTTTCATCCCCAGCTTGGAGGGTTCCCTCAACGGTCGGGGGGTCGAAGAAGGTGACTGCACCAGATTCAACAATAAAGTCAACAACGAGGAAGAGAAACAGCAAGTTTAGCCTCAACCCAGCATGATTAATTTTACAAACAAGCTTGCAACCTGGATATGTATTCTTTTGCACTGAGAACAGGAAGGAGTGCCAAGTAAAACAAGCAAGTACAGCATGGATTCCTATGTTTCTACCCTCAGAGCATACTCACAGTAGCACAACCTTACATGTATCTGACAGTAATTACGGCCTTACATGGATGTACCTGACCCCAATTCCGTCCAGAAATAGGTAAAAGGAGTCCTAGTGAGAGTATGCCCTCAAGTCTTTGCACAAGAACATTGGACCCGCCTAGGACCTGGTTCATTTTTAATTCCAAAGGGCCGCCAAGGATTTTTGGGAAACTGATTGAGCTAGATGGCAGGAGGGTGTTTCAAGCATGGGGACGAGTCGGGAACCAGCATGCCTTACTGCGTAAGAGGATAGCGCTGGACTTACATGGTAAAAGCATCTCACCTCAGAGACCAGACTATCCGTGCAACCCACCGGTTAAAGCCTTCTTCTTTTCGTTTTGGGGCCACTGTGGCTGTATCCCACTTTTAGTTTGAAATAGGCAAGAAAAGACAAAAGTGGCACTGTAGTCATGTCGTGAGTTTGAAAATGTGCAAGTTTAGCGTTGGTCTAAAGCCGCCGCAGCAAGTCATTAACCGCTGTAGTGAATGCAGTTTTAGGGTTACCTATTTTCTTTGCCATGTTTTGAGAACTGCTAAAGTTGCCCATTCTGAACATGGGGTGTGACTTGAAAGTACTTACCGTTTTCTTTTTTGAAAAACGGCTACCGACCGGTTGGAGGCCTGAAACAGGTGTGTCTGAAAGAATGCTCTAATCAGGATGCGTTGTGGACCTGCACAGTCTGGGCGAAAGGAGCACCTATTCAGCACCTACGACTTGACACTAAACTGCGGTCCTGGAGAGGCTCTCCGTGAGTTCCCCAAGGACCACGGCTTTCAGATGATTCGTCTGCACAAGAGTACTACAGTAGCTGCTGCAGCCAACAAGAACCCCGCCATTGGTAGCAACTAAGTGCCTCGCTCCACTGCTGCTGTGTATTCCAACGGTAGCTGGCACTGACATGGCTCCCTTACATTCCAAATGGTTGGTCAGTCCAAGTGTATCTGGATCACAAACAGCCCAGATACATCTCTACTGTTGCGTAGTGAAGCGAGGCCCTAAGACAAGTCTTTTTGGAAGAAAACAACATAGCTCCGGATGTGTCTCACTGTTGGTGGCAACTGCATTTTGCTCTAGTCCCAAGAGCAGCAGTGCTCCTTCGGATGTTGTATATCATTCGCCATTATTTTTTATTTTATTTTTTTTGGGGGGGGGAGCATTCGCCATTATCAACACCCGTCAGCTTGGATTCGTAGGGGGGGGGGGGGGAAACCACTTGCAAAACCTTCGTATTAAAAAAGGTTAGAAAGGTATTGTCCAAAGGGGCAACTGGAGAGCCACAAAAAAGGGAAAAAGAAAGAAAAAAAGAGAACCAGCGTCACCTCATGACACAGAGGCCCGACATCCTTTTTTTTTTCCTTTTTTTTTAAACAACAACCAGACCCACGCTACTAGGAGAGGTGATACGAGCACACTCTCCTAGTATAAGGGGTTCAGTTGCTCGGATCTATTAGTGGGGAGCTACACCAGCTGGAAAGCGGGTCCACCGTCCAGAGTCCCGACATCCTTCCAAGGGCGATTGGAGAACCAGCGTCACTGCATGGCACAGGGATACATACACCCCCGACGCGGGTACTCACACTCCCGTCTTTACCCGAATAGAACGCCCGGTCATTATAGCTGCATTTGGACTGAAAGTTGCTCCAAATACGGCTATAATGACCGTGCGTTCTATTTGGGAGAAGAGGGTGGAATAGGACTTTTCTTTGGATGTAGTTGCAGTCAACCCTGCTGCAGGAGAGAGAGGGTGGGGGAGGGGGGGGGGGGGGGGGGGGGGGGGGGGGGGGGGGGGGGGGGCAACCAATCTGTGTGGTTGCGACAGGAGTGGGCAACAAGCTGAGTCCCGCCAGAAATGGACGGGCAAGGCCTATTTTTCGCCCTTAAGAAAGGGAAAAAAGGGAGAAAACGAGCGAATGCGTCTTTCTTCCTAAGAAGAAGAGTTTGAATACATTTTGTTCGTCTTGTCAACAAGAAGAAGGCTACCCTTCTTTTCCCGTAGCCTTCTTCCCCCGAATACAACGTACGGTCATTATAGCTGTACTCGACTGAAAGATACCCCAAATACAGCTATAATGACCGTACGTTGTATTCGGGGGAAGAAGGCTAAGAAGAAAAAAAAGCGGGAACATCTGGAGCATCGCGTGAATGCATCTGAACGTGGACTTCCCCACACCCCTTCCTCTCCTCCTCCCCCCTTGACGCTCACGACGATTATCTGGGCTGTTTATCCATGCGTGCCCGGACACACGCCCGGCTGCACGGCCGGACAGGACCTCTAGGCTGGGTCCCGCACAGCCCCAGCGCAAAATTAACAAAATCAGCAAGAAAAATTATTGGATGTTCGTCCGTGCCTGCCCAGACACACGCCCGGCTGCACGGCCGGGCAGGACCTCCAGGCTGGGTCAGAGCCTCTAGGCTGGGTGCCGCACAGCCCCACCGCAAATTTAACAAAATCAGAAAGAAAACTGTCTTGTGTACTATTGGCTGCGCCATGATGAGCTGAGATGAGATGAGGTGCACGACACATACAGCTTCCGCATGAGAACGGATGTGCATAAAGCCACAATTACTGTAAGATCATTCCATTATATTGCGTGCGAACAGCGGGAGCACAAGATGATACAGAATCCATCCAATCCGCACAAAAGATCACTCAATGTACTCAAGAAGACGACGTCTTGCACAACAAAAGTTTACTGTTTACTCTGTGAAGAATGAAACCGGATCGCATTTGGCACCAATCCCCGACAAGGATGGCTTGTCCCAACCGACAATACCCCAGTCCAGCGGCTACTCCCCTACACTTAGATCTAGAGCATGGCGATGATGCCAAAATAAATTAAAAAATAAAAAATAAAAAAAAATCGCTCCGATATCGTAGACAAGCAGATAGGAAGGACAGAAGGGGG